GGCCGCGGCTCACCATCAGGGCCGCGGTTCAACATCAGGGTCACGGTTCAACATCAGGGCCGTGGTTCAACATCAGGGTCACGGTTCAACAGCTGAACTGTGAAAACTTAATTTTTGTTTGGGAAAACTGATTCCGACTTTTTATTTGTGTTGATGTTTGGGAAAACTGATTCCGACTTTTTGTTTGTGTTGAACACCTGTCTGACTGACTGACTGACTGTCTGACTGACTGACTGACTGACTGACTGCCTCCTGCTGGTCTGTAATTGAGGAGGATTCTAACTGTCTCCCTGTGAGATAATGATGATGCTGAAGCGTCTCCAGGTCTGTGAAGACGAGCTGACAAGTTTGGGAAAATCATGGTGACACCAGGAATTAGGGAGAGAGAGAGAGGGAGAGAGAGGGAGAGAGATAGAGAGGGAGAGTGGGAGTTTTTGTGGGTAGGTGTTGGGGGGGGGGGGGCGATACCCCCCCCCCCCCCCCCCCCCCCCCCCCACACTGCTCTCTCTCCTGTTATCCCAGTGGCCTTTCAGCAGCATTACTCATTTTCGGAGCCACTCCTGTTACATAAGCTGGTGCTCCAGAGACTTCCTGCCGCGCGGCGTCCCTCCACATCCTCTCCGCGCCGCACTTGTTCATAATTGCCGAGCGGAGCCACTGGTCCGATCGTTGCTCTCTCAAAACTGCTGAATGCACAGAGAGTTTGGTGTGAAACTTCAGAGAGAAGAAAAATGAACATCAGCAAATTCTCTTCATTTGGTTCCAGAAATACGCCGACAGTAAATTCCCGATGCCGACAGGGAATCATGGGAGAATTAAAAAACAACGGAGAGTTCTGAGGAGAGTCGTAAAAGTCAGTGGACCAGAGTTCACGTTACAGACAGAAGGGGGCGCACAGCGTGAGACGTAATTAGCCTCTTCAATTAGCCTTACAGCAGGAAGGTCGTACTGTTCGATTCCTGTTCATGTGCACGTTTTATTGTTCACTCTGAATCTGTTAGTGTGAGTGAACTGTGACGGACTGGAGGACTGCCCCCTCCTGACGACTGCTGGGACTGACTCCAGTCCAGCGACCACCCTGGACCCAGGTTTTCTACGTCTGTGTATTTTAATGAAATATTTTAATGAAATATTTTAATGAACTATTATAGATCTAATCAGAGTAGAAGTCGTTACACTTTTAAGTTTGTATCTTTTCAACATGAGACTCGCTGCAAAAATGAACAAATACAGTTGAAAACAAAGAGTAGGTCAGTCATAAATATAAATTCTATATTGATACAGATCTATATCATAATATCATCTGTGTCTCATATTCAGGTGGGATCTGTCCTTGTTTTTACGTTTAACTACATTGTGATGGCACCGCGTGGTCAAACCCCTGTCCTAACGTTAACGTCCTGTGATTTTTGTTGTTTCACCTGTGTGATTTGTTTTCCCTCCTCACCCTTGCCCCCCCCCCCGATTAACTAACGACCCATTTCTTGTTAACTCCTCCTTCTGTCACTTCATTAACCCGTCTTTCCTCTGCGCCCCGACGGTTTAGAACCAGCAGCCACCACAGCTTCCTGTTTCTGACTTTTCTGA